GCCCCGGAGCGCGGGGGCTGCGCTGGGCCGGCCGCCGCGCTCCAGCTGCCTCTTCACAAGGAGGCCTGCAAACGTGCCCACTTGATTCTAAATCCTCTTAGGCGCTCGCCGTGTGAACCAGGAAGGGGGTGGCCCTCCGGTCCTTTGCAATGCGAGGCCTGGAGCCTGGTGCTCGGCGAGCGGTCCGCACCGCGCATGCAAATGCGGTCGGTATCTTGGCGAAATCCGCCCAGTCTTTTTGCTGGGTAACCAGCCCTGTGCAGACACCCCTATCCCGCCCTTCAGTGCCACGCAGGGTCCTGAAAAATTTTTAAGGGTGTTTCCCCTGGAAGAGACTTCCTGTTAAGTGTTCAGAAAAGCCAGCCGAGCTGCGCTAAGTCATTAGTCACCCAGGTATTTACACTGTTTTTCCTATTTCCTTTCTCTCGGCCTCTGTGGTCAGTGGTATAAAATTCCTAGGAACTCCCACCTAAACACCAGCTTCCTGTTTATGCACTCAGTGGCTTTAATGTTTAGCTGTTGAAAGCAGTTGACCAAGAATCTCTGAAACAGCCAGCAGAGGTGTGCAGGTGAATAGAAAAAAAAAAGAAAAAAATCCAAATGGGTAGGTCAAAGGTCCAGGTTCATTTTTAATTACTTATGTCAGAATTACAGGGGGAAAAGGTAAAAAGTGAAGTGTAATTTGATACCTGAGATCGTGCTTCAGTTTCATTTGGCCCCTGTGTCTACAGGAACCTGTAAAATATGATCCACTAAGCTATGGACATTTTCGTTTCTAGGAGTTAAAGGCTTTTTTTTTTTGAACATCGCATGGCTTTCTTTTGTTATAGAAGGTTAAAGTTCGCACGTAAGCACAATCTGTGTGTTCCTGTGTCTGCCTTGTACCTCCCAGGGCTGCTCTGGCCTTAAGTTCCTGTAGCAAAATGTTGCATTTGTGTGGCTACCTCTGAATTGCAGTCTCCCTGACCTGGAAAAGAACCTTAAAGGGAACCTCACCCCAGCTCTTTCTAATGCAGAATTCCCTGATGTGGGACTCCTAAGGAGTGAATAGCTATTCTCTGATAAGATCCCTCTGGAATTCCCTGTTTCAGAAGACAGCATCCTTCCTTGACAATCTGGTTCTTAAAAAAAAAAAGATTTTCTATCTACAAAACTGGAATTGGGTCTCCGCTTACGAAGACATGCAGAATAAATCTAATTTCTTTTCCACATATTACCCTTCAGATATTTGGAGGCAACTCCCGTGTCCCCCGAGAGTCTTCTCCCAGCTAAACCTCTGCAGATCCTTCACCACTTTCTCCTGTGGGTCTGAGTCATCCCGCACCATTATCTAGAGATGCTCCAGTTCGTCCAAGTCCCTTTGAAACTGAAGATGCTGCTTCACTCACACGGAAACTCAGCCTCAGAGGCAGCAGCTTAAAACCAACAAGGAAAATCAGTCAAACCATGTCCAAGTTATTCAGACAAAAGTAAATGTTGGTTTTCCATTTTAGTTTTTTCTACTCTGCAGCAGTTAAGACCTGACTCAGTTATGAAGCCCAGAAAGGAGAAAAGCGTATTGCGAGCTAACCCTGCGACTTCCACATTCTTGCATTTTTATCCTCACAGAACCCTGAGCGGGTCCTATTGTTATTTCTCTGTTGCAGCCTCTGAGGTCAAACAGTCCACCCAAGGTCACACAGCTAATCAGTAGCAGAGTGAGGTCTCTAACCTGTGACTTACTCTGCATTTCCCGAAGCTGCTGCCCTGAATTCTAGAGTTAAAACTGAGGTCCTGGATTGGATTTATTTTTCAGTGTGTTCTGTGACACGCAGCTTTAATTCAAGGCCAGTTTGTATGCATCCTATTTGTACTGCTATAAATACAAGTTGAGAACTTTAGGAGGAACTAAGTTCTTTCTGGAAGCAAATGAAACAGAAATTCCGAGTTATAGCCAAAAGTCATCCCAAACATGCTTTTGTTCCAATGGCATTACCTAGCAGCAGAGTGTTATATCCCTTGAATTTCCTGCCTGGGCGCGGGGTAGGCCAAGCCCTTGATGCCCTGTCCATTGCCCATGTAGTTCAGGTATATCACAGCATTGCCATTGCCCCTTGGGCACGCCTGCCCTCCATGCCAGTTACGTAAGATAAAGGGACGGATATGTTTCCCATGCACGCACTGTCGTTTTTTTCCCAGTGTTACTAAGCCTGCCAGAACAAAAGTAAAACCACAGAAAGAAGATTTAGATCAGCCTCTTCATCGCCTTGCTCTTATTTTACAGTTTTAGGAGGGGCTGGACATCAAACACTTGAAACTGTCATCCACACATTCCTTCTCAGAATAAAGCGGCATTGGCATGGACTCCCGCTAAATTACTTTCTACCCCAGAATGTTGGAAACTCTTTCCCTCCAGGAAAATACTCTACAGAAGACACACGGAATGGACTTAGTTCTGAGAAAGGCTCTCACGTCTATAGTGAACTGTCACGTGCTGACATCTGGCCAGATGGACTCGCTGCCTTGGCAGGGATGTTGCTTGGATGCTTAGATTTTTCTGACTTGCTTGCTATTGGAAACAGTGCTTGAGAGACCTTTTTCTTACTGCCCTGTCCAAAGTACCCCCCCAAATTACTGTCACATAAATCTCTATTTTCTTCAAAGTACTTGTGACTGAGTGCTCTTCCTTACACATTTGTTCACGGTCTACCTTCTCTTGATCACAACTTGTGCATGAGTCAAGTAACCTGGTCTGTCTTGTTTATTACTTGGCACATAGTAGGTCCTTGGTAAGTAGTTTTTTGAATGACTACATCTTTCATGCATGTATATGTTGCTCTTATACAATTTTCTCCTTACAATCAATTCTTTGACTAGTCAAACTCCTAGAGGCAGAAAGTGGAACATGGTTGCCAGGGGCTGGGTGCCAGGGGAAATGGGGAGTTAGTGTTTAACGGGTACAGAATTTCCACTGGGGAAGAGAGAAAAGTTCTGCTGGTGGATGGAGGTGATGGCTGTACAACCGTGTGAATGTACTTAATGCCACTGTCTTGTACATTTTAAAATGTTCAAAATGGTCAATTTTATAGTACTTTTATTCTACTGTGATACAGGTAAATAAATACTGTGAATCGAAATTCTTGAGTTGTGTGTGTTTAAAATTTGGGTATGTATCACTGAACTTTCCTTCGGAAGTTATGCTTATTTACATTCCAAGTACCAGTGCCTGAGAATACCCGTTTCCCAGCACACTGCCGACACTCGACACTCTTTGCTCAGTCTCTTTATTCCTTGTATTTACACACACACCCCGGTACACTTATTTGTGTAACTATACTTATCATTAAGAGTTGAGTATATTTTCATATGCTTGGCATTTCTTCTTTGGTGAAAAGCCCGTGTGTATCTTTTCCCATTTTTATTGGGCACTTTGTTTCCTTTTATTGATTTGTAGGAGCTCTGTGTATATTAAAGATAATAATTCTTAGTCTGTGATACAGTTTGCAAATATTTTTTTTCCTAGTTCAGTATCTTACTTTGCATGTTATTTGTAACTCCCTGCTCCATGAAATGTAAAATTATGTACTGTATCAGCACAAACTTGGGGTGAAAAATCCCTTTCTCATTCCAAGATTATAAAAATATTCATCTATGCTTTTATCCAGCACATTTGTGGTTTTGATTTTTATATTTCAGTATTGGATGCATTTGTATGTTGGTGGTAGAAAGTATGGTGAAGATCCAACAGAATTTTCTTTTAGCTGATCAGTTACTTTAGCATTCTTTATTATATAATCCATGTTTTCTCTCAATAACTTGAAATGACACCTCTTTGTTGTAATAAATGACTACATGCTTTGGTCTGTCTCATTG